GCGCCCAACCGCTTCCTCTCAAGAGCTCTGCGCGCAGTGCCGCCCGCGAACGTGTCGTGGCCAAGACTGCGCGCCGTGGTGAAACTCTCAAGCTTCAAACGCAATGCTCTGGCCTGAAGGGCCTTCCGAGCCTCTACATTGGATGCCAAGAAACCAGATTTGCTAGCCTGCAACAGGAACCCCGCTCGACTAGTGTACCCATCAAAGCAAGCTACAGTAGTGCCGACGATTTCCGCATGTTTGGCCACCTTGCCAACCCACTGGACTGACGCACCATCCATGAGGCCTCGGGGCACTATGAGGTCAAACTCACGCGTGAGTCTCTGTAGCGGCCTCAACAGGTGGCATGGCAGCGCCCCGCCAGAATCCCCGGGCACGACGTGTAGGGGGCACTCACTTTGTTAAATCCCTTGATGAGGCGGGGCTGCCAGTATGCACGCACACGCTAGCATCCAAGCCACTCTTAGAGGAAATCGTACCGCAGCAGCCTCGAGCAAGATGGCACTGTGCAGTATCATCTCCTAGCATATCATCATATCGATCAGGGCAGAGACGCAGTGAAGGCCAGTGTTTCGAGCGATCTCCGCCACGAGATTGTGAGAGAAGGCGCAATCCACGCTGCTGCGCCCGGGGCCCGATCCCCAACGGAGGTCCGACTGGTGCCCCGCCTCCCACTCCACCGACACAGGACGCCTCGCCCTTCCCCAAACACCCTGATGAGCGAGTGCAGCAGCGCAGTCTCAGGCGATGCTCACCTGGCTTGTCGGCCTTTGGGAGCCTGACCAGCTCAGTGGCGATGCGCTCGGCGGGCCACATACGGAGGGCCTCGCACTTCATAAAAAGCGCGGCTATGGTCTCGAGGCCACTGCTGCTAAGCCAGATCAGCGACAGCGGCGTTAGCCGGGACGGCCCCACAGCGGTGCCCCCGCCGAATTTGAGCAGTACTTGGCGGACGGTCGTCTCCGCCGATAGGAGGTAGCTGCGGCCACTGCTCAGCGCCGTCCAGAAGCGGAACGCTCTTGAAGCCGTGGACGGCCCATCTCTTGGCCCAGTCGTCCATGCAGCCATCGATCAGCTCGAAGGGTTGAGAACTGGCGCGAGCTGTGGCTGCCGGCTGCAGCGCTTGTGCCTTGGAGAACGTGTGGGCTTTTGAGGCCCCGTTGATGAAGCTGGAGGCCACCCAGTCGTTCCAGCTCGCCTCCCGAGCCTTGACGACGCCCTGCTCCTGGACTTCGCCTGGTGCAGGATCCAGTTGACCGTGTCGCCAAAGCGCAGGTCGGCAAACGCGGCCAGGCCCTTCTCGAAGAATCGCCGCACCGCGGGATCCACTAGGCGAAAGACCCACTGCTGGCGCAACACGTTGTCGAAGAAGCGCTCCGTGTCGTACGGCAGCTGGCCAAGTCTCTGAACGCCAGCCTGCGCCCAGCTGCGAGCGCCCTGCCCCTCCAGAGTGGGCACTTGCTGGGCCAGGCAGGCTTGGCATGCTTCAACGCGGCGGAGGTGGCGACATCACCTGGCTGCGACCGCCCGCGCGTCCGCGGGCGCACCTCGCACAGGCGGCCGCTTCTTGGGCGGCTGCCAGCGGTGCTGCACCCAGCGCCACCTCGGAGGGCCAGCGCGGCCAACCTGCGCCGAGGCCGCGGTTCCGACCAGATCGTAGCGATTGCAGCGCTCCTTCTTGATGCCCTGCAGGATGTCGTCCCATGATGCATGGCTGAGCTCGGCCTCGGTCCGCACGGACGCGATTGAGGCCTGGGCGGCCGCCCAGTCCCGCGGGTGCCGGCTGCACCCAGGCGCTGGCCTGGCGGGAAGGGCGCGGGGCTCCCACGGGACCCTGCACCACAAGGCCCTGTCGCTGCCCAGTACCTCCAGGTCAACGGGCCTGTTCTAGGCCTCCTAGGTGGGGTCGGAGTAGATGGGGTCGGAGGATCGCGCCGCATCGCCGATGCATCGCCGATGCGGCTCGATGTGGGGCCCAGTTTTCCCCGCGCCGACGTCGCCGATGCATCTCCGACGTCGCAAGAGCAGCGCCGATGCATCGGCGATGTATCGGCGATGCAATCCTCCGACTCCATCTACTCCGACCCCATCTAGGAGGCCTCTGCCTTTGCGGGTACGTTGTCGCGCACTCGTTCACCGAGGGAGATCCGCCCGCGACGATCCAGGCCACGCCCTTGGCAGTCATGTCAATCAAGAAAAGACCCACCGCGCGCAGGATGCTCAAAATGCAGGCTGCAAGCCCCACGGAGTCGTGGAGGTAGACCGACACGCAAACTATGCCGCCGTCAACTCCCCAGTGGACGTGGCCTGACCCGCCACCGTTCGCCCAGCGACGATATCGCCATCAGCGCGGCTAAGGGGCAGCGTCACAGTGACGCCGCGCCGAGCCAGGACAGCATTGCCGCCCTGGGCACTGCTGCCTGAAGTGGTGGAGGCCACGGCGGTGCCCCACACGCCATGGTACCCGAGGACCTCCATCCGACTCTGCAGAGCCGCCGCCTTGTCAGGCCCCGCGTGGTGCTCCTGGGCGAAGGCGATCTTCGACTGGAACTGCTTCGACGCAAGCAGCTCCTCCAGCTTGCCGTAAGAGGAAACGTGAACTGTGGTGATCACACCTTTGGTATCCGCCGAAGGGGCCGGCGAAGCCGCAACCAAGCCCCCCGTCGGGGACCTTCCGCGGCCCTCAGCAGGCCCGGCCAGGTCACCGGCCTGTGCCGCCGTCGGCGGCCTTCCACGGCCCTCGGCAGGATGCCCCGCAGCAGCACGCCCAGCACCGGCGGAGACGGCGGCCCCTGGGGAGGGGGCGGGCAGGGCCCCCTGGCTGCCTGCGGCGGCGCCGCCGGCAGCAGGGCAGGCGCCCCCGGCCACGAGAGGGGAACCTTCGAGAGCCCGGCCCACAGAAACCTTGTGCACACTGGAAGCATCCATCATTATGTCGTTTTTTTTGGGTTGATGTTTTTTTGGTTTTCTTATATTTATGCATGCCGCTATCCTACTCTGTCTTGGCCCTCTTCGCGAAGCTCTGGAGGCCGTCGCCGACCCGCTTGGCCCCTCCCTTTACTCCTCATCCCACCTCTCCGCTCCTGAGCTCCGTTCCGTTCCCCCTCCCGTTTCTTCCTCCGCCTCCTCCATACCTCGGGGGCCTGCGTCCCGACCGCCTGCAAAGAGGCCTTGAGCACCGTAAGGTTCTCGGAGACACCGCACGGGATCCAGGCGCCAGAGCCTGCACCCGCCGCGGCGGCGCCAGGCGCCGCGGCAGGACCAGAACCGCCAGCAGCATGATGAGCCGCGGCGGCTTCCTGGGCCTGTTTGGCCCCGGCCGCGGCCTTCTGCCGCTCGCGCTCGGCCTGGGCCTTGACGGCAGCCTCGCACACGCGACCCACCACCGAGTGCAGCTCCTTGGCCAGCTCCTCGCCGGCACCGAAGGGGCCCAGCGCTGCGGCCAGCTGCTCTGCCGACATCTGGAGGCCCGTGTCCAATCGCCTTGGCGCCGTCGACGACCATGGCGGGCTGAGGGAAGTGGCCGGCGGCCTCCGTGCGCTGGCTCTCGAGCTGCACGATCTCCGACTGGAGCGTCGCCAGGCTGGCCGCCACCTCGTCCACCTGCCCGTGGAGATCGCGCATCTTGGCCTGCAGCTCTGCGAGAGTCTTCTTCTTTTTCTTCTTCTTCTTCTTCTTCTTGCTCTCCGCCTTGCGCTTCGCCGCCTGGATCTGCTGCGAAATGCGTTGGATCTGGATATCGGGAGCGGCTTGGCGCCAAGCTGTTTAGCGCTCAAGTCGGCCAGCTCCTCAAGCCAGCCATCGCGGAGCTGACGAACTGCACCAGCCGAATCGGCAGTGTGCTCAAAGTCGTCAATGCGCTTGCGTAGTTCCTTGGCGCTGTCAGACTCGGCCGCGGCTCCGTCGTCCACGTCCATGCTGCCGTCGCCCAGGACAGGAGGCGGTCCAGCCTCAGCCTTCTCCAGCTCTGCCTTGACCTCCTTGAGTTCGGCCTGCGCCTTGCGCAGCTCGACCGCAGACTCACAGTTCGCCTTGTCCCGGTCCTTCGTTGCGACCGAGACCGACGGGACCTTGGGCTCCTTCTGAGAGTGGAACGCCACGCCCTTGGAACCGCTGGCACGGCCTGCAGGACGCAGCGGCAGCGACGTTCCACCAGCGCTCGCCAGAGCGAGGGGCCCAGCAGAATCGGCAGAACCATGGCCTGGCTGCCTCCTCTCTGCGCTGGCGGTGCCCGCTTGGCGTTCCCATCTGAGGAGGAGGAGGAGGAGGAGGAGGAGGAGGAGGAGGAGGAGGAGGGGGAGGGGGAGGGGAGGAGGAGGAGGAGGAGGAGGAGGAGGAGGAGGAGGAGGAGGAGGAGGAGGAGGAGGAGGGAGGAGGAGGAGGAGGAGGAGGAGGAGGGAGGAGGCTGCTCGCGAGCAGGACGACGGGCAGCAAGAGCAGCCTCGTGGCTGCCACTGCTCCAGCAGGAGCTCGCAAAGGGAATGTGCTCGTGCAGAGCGTTGCACGAGGAGCGTTGGAAGCAAGCTCGGGGAACAGAGCCATCCCGTTTTGGCACGGAGGCGCGGAGCCCCCAAGTACAAGAGTCTTGAGCCAAAATGGCTACGGAGGAGGAGGAGGAGGAGGAGGAGGAGGAGGAGGAAGAGAAGGATGAGGAGGAGGTATGCATGTTTTGGCCTCTTTTGCTGGGATATGTTTGGTATGCGCGCGCACGTGCCTGTGCATGTGCAGGTGCAGATGCGGGTGCAGCTGTGGTTGCGGAGCCACGTGCGCATGTACACGTGCGAGTCGAAGTCGTGCTCGTATTTGTCTGACAGATGAGGAGTCGTTTGCGAGACTGATGGGGTGCAGGTGGGCTCGATGTCCCTCCGCCCGCCCGCCCTCGGCGAGGCGCGCGCGCGTTTGTGCGCGTCAGCAGCACCGCGCGCAGGAGTGCAGGCACGCTCACACGCCCCTGCGCTCGCGCACACCGATCCCGGAGCGGTGCACACCAGCGCCCCCAGGCTGAGATCTGGAGGTACGAGCAGCGGGGGATGCTACTGCGGCTCGAGGAACGAAAAACGGCGCAAGCATAAACTTTTTGAGCTCCGCGCGGGTTTCTTGGGTCGGCGTGCGGCCCCGCCCTGGGCGCGCTCCGCGCACCGGAGGGAGTGCGGGTCCCAAGAATCTACACCACCACCGCGTCGATTCCTCCTCCCTCCTCTACACTCTCCTTCCTCGCCTCTTTCCTGGGAGACGGAGGGGTGAGGGAGGTGGTGCTGGTTTATATGCTTGGGCCCCAGAGGGAGGGGGGCCTCCAAAGCCGATCCAAGAAATCCCCGCGGAACCCAAACACGTTTATCTTTATGCAGCCTTTCGTTCCTCTAGAGGCTGGATACGAGAGGAACGCCTGGCATCTGGAATGGCTCGCCCGGACCCAACGGTTTCATGCAGTACAAGGACCTGTCGAGGACGGCCGCTGCCGCCGCCCCCGCGGGCCGCAACTGGAGGCGGTCTCCGACCACACGGGTGTGAGCGGCTTCGGAATTGGCCACGGATACGCTGGCGAGGGGACAGGCAATCTCGATACTCTGACGAGGCAAGGGGGGGAATGGGGGAGGGAGCGTCACTGACACGACCGCGTACCCGATCACCCGATTCGCTGTAGCAGTTCGTCCTTCGCCCATCGGTGGGGCTTGGGGCGTTCGTTGGACTGGGCTGGGCTTGGATTGAGCCTGGCAGATCTCTCTCGCACGTTGTCCCTCCTCCTTGCCCAGTGTGTTGTCCTCTCCCGCTCTCTAGGGCCCCTCAGATCCACGGCTTCAGGGCGCCCTCCAGTGCCAGATGACACGAGCTCCGCTGCCTTCTCGAGTCGGCCAGGGAACTGGGGTGCGCACGAGGGGGGCGTCCTGATGTGTATTTCACAGGGTTGCCTGCAATGGTGTCCGCGATTCGGCCCCTTCGGCTGCGCCACGGTTGCTTCGGCTTCGGGCCGGTTGCTGCGTCGCTTCTGCGCCGCTGGGCTGCCTGTGGCCTGTCTGTCGGTCGGTCGTCGTCGTCGGCGTCGTCGTCGTCGTCGGTCGTCGGTCGTCCGTCGTCGGTCGTCCGTCGTCGGTCGTCCGTCGTCGGTCGTCGTCGTCGTCGTCGTCGTCGTCGTCGTCGTCGTCGTCGTCGTCGTCGGTCGTTGTCGGTCGTCGCTGGCTCTCGGCGGCCTCGGGAGTGACCGTCGCTCCCGCAGAGCCCGCGCCAGGGGCGTGGTGTCCAGGGACTACTGCAAGAAGATGTTCCCCATTGGCACCCGGCTCAAGGCGCCCTTCGGCGCGGAAGGGGTCCTAGAGGGCTCCCTGACGGGTCCTCCTTCTCCTCCTCCTCCTCCTCCTCCTCCTCCTCCTCCTCCTCCCACCTCCTGCTCCTCCTCCTCCTCCTCCTCCTCCTCCTCCTCCTCCTCCCCTCTCTGCTCCTCCTCCTCCTCCTCCTCCTCCTCGTCCTCGTCCTCCTCCTCCTCCTCCTCCTCGTCCTCCTCCTTCTCCTCGCCCCAGAGGGGTCTGGGATCTGGGAGGGAGGATGGTGCCGGACGACGCCACGACGACGGGCGGTCCCGGGAAGGAGGACGTCCTGGAGAGGGTCCTGGAGGCAGGGGGCCGACGCCACGACGGCCGCGGACGGAGGGATGGCCCAGTCCCCAGACCGACGTCTCCTCCTGGCTTCAGCCCACGCCTCCACAGCTGTCCCCCCTGGCGCCTACGCGTTCGGCCCTCCTCCGCCCCCCGCCTCGGGCCCCTGCTCCCCCACCTCCAGACGCTTCCACCTCTTCCCCTGAGTGTTCAATATGATGATGGTGGTGGTGGTGATGATGATGCTGATGACTATTATCATCATCATCATCATCATCATCACCATCATCATCATCATCACCACCATCATCATCATCATCACTATAATCATCTCCATCATCATCATCATCATCATCATCATCATCATCATCATCATCATCATCATCATCATAATCATCATCATCATCAACAACGTCATCATCAACACTATTAGTATATTGTAATTATTACTACCACTAGTCTCATGATTATTCTCATGATTATTAGTATCATTCGTATCATTATTATTTTTCTTGTATTAGTATTCGTATTATATATGATTCTTATTGTTAGTATTATCATTATTATCAGTCTTATTATCATCAGTATCATCATCATCCTCATCCTTATCCTCATCCTCACTATCATCATCATTATCATCCTAATAGCCATCGGCATCGTCATCGTCATCGTCATCGTCGTCGTCATCATCATTATCATCATCAGCATCAGCATCAGCACTAGCATCAGCATCATCATTACCACCACCACCACCACCACCATCATCATCATCATCATCATCATCATCATCGACATCATCATCATCATCATCATCATCATCATTATCATCAGTATCAGCATCATCATCATCATCATCATCATCATTATTAGTATTATTATTATCATTATCATTATCATTATCATTACCATTATCGTTACCATCACCATACTCAACCGTAACCATCTTGGCATAATCCATGTTTTGCTCAAGCACCCCTGTGTTCGAGTGGCACGGGATCGGCAGGGACCTCGCAATCGGGGACACTCCACCCTCCGATCGGATGCTCATGAAGCTGCTGTGGCTCGCTCTGTGCACGACTGCGCTCGAGGCCTTTGAGGAGGAGCCTGCACCGAACGATGGGTCCGTGTTCGTGACGAGCTACCTGCCAGACCGCGACAAGGACGGCCAGACAGCTACCGCCGTCGACCTGAGTTCCCTCGGCTGGAAGGCTGAGAACGCGATGCACAGCGGCTACATCACGGTCGATAAAGAGAAGAAGAGAAACATGCGTTCTTCTGGTTGTCGACCGCTCTCGACGGCAACTCGTCCGCGCCGCTCTTGCTGTGGCTCCAGGGCGGTCCTGGGGCGTCCTCCCTCTTCGGCATGTTTACGGAGATTGGCCCTTTCGGCATTGCGCCAGGTGGCACGATAGAGCCACGGGCTGTGAATTGGACTCAGCACTACCACTTGCTGTTCCTGGACAATCCAGTCGGCACTGGCTTCAGCTTCACCGAGACAGAGGAGGACTTCGTCTCCAGGCACGAGCAGGCGGGCGAGGATCTCCAGGAGGCGCTGTCTCAATTTTTCCAGCTGTTCCCCCACCCCCAACTTCGCAAGAACCGCTTCTACGTGACGGGGGAGTCGTACGCCGGCAAGTGGGTTCCGTCCTGCGCGTACGCTATCCACGGGAAGAAGAATGTTTCTTTCCAGGAGGAGCGCATTAACCTGAAGGGCATCGCCATCGGCGATGGTGCGATGAACCCTGCAGAGCAGTTCAAGGGCTTCGGCGACCTGCTCTGGTTCAATGGAATGGTGGACGAGGTGGAGAAAGCGCAGCTTCAGGCATACGAGGCGCGCATCCAGGAAGCGCTGAAGGCCAGTGACACGGTTGGAGCCGATGAGATCTTCGATGAGATGTTGAATGGGATTTCTACCCATACCCTACCTACTATGCGACTGTGACAGGCTTGGGATCTAATTATTTCAATTTCGAGCTGTCTCCAGATGCCACTCCTTTGGGGGGTGATTTCTTCCAGTGGCTTAACCAAGATGCGGTGCAGGCAAGGAGCCACGTTGGGAATCGCAACTACGCGCCAGAGAACAACACCGTGGAGGCGCACCTCAAGCCCGACTGGATGCGGGACGTCCTTGCCGAGCTCGTGCCGATCATGGAGAATTATAAGGTCATGGTTTATAATGGACAGAACGATATCGTCTTGGGTCCGACCCTCGCAGGGAATTTCCTCGGAGCCTTGCTTGTGCGAAGCGGCTCAAAGCCTTCTCAAGAGCGTCCTCGAGACTCCTTCTCATCACACGCTTCCCCCTGCGCTCTCCGCCGCGCGCTTCCCCCTACAATTCGGTACCACACTGGTGTCTTCGTCTCTCCAGGTTGCATCCGACAAGCGCGCCAGGCTCACCTGTCCAACACTTGTTCAAGCAGCGCCGGATCCACAGTCCACTACAGGAGATGAACGGGCTCGACAACCTTGAGTTCGCCAGTGCTTTGCAGCGGCGGTTTCAGCATCAACTGGCCGGCGCCCAGGGCAGCGGCAGTGCCGACGACAAGTCCTCCCGACCTTCTTCGGGGAGTATTGCCGCGACCGTTGACGACATCCGGAACTTGATCAAGGACGAGCTCGCCCCTATTAAGCAACGTATTGCGGCTATAAGTTTTGCGGAGTTTCCCGTCGCGACCTGCAAGAAGCCACGGAGCCATTCAAAGGCTCAATCGAAGAAATAACAGCGAAATTCGAGCACGAGATCGAGGATGTACATATATACGTTACCAACGAGGAACATATCATGAACGAGCGCATCGACAAGATCAGGTAAGACTTCGAACACATATCAAACTGCACTCCATGATCGGCTTCTGGTAAATCGCAAAATCCTGCTGACAAGTACCACTGCGGTGGCAAACGCGCAGCTACTGCAGCAATTTGTAATTTGGGCAACTTTGACGACGGTGCGGCGGCATATTTATGCGAAAGGCGAGTGTAGGAACATCATCTTCGCAGAATTCGACGCCATGTTGGACCGCGACACTGCAGTGGCGTTGATGCGGAGTGGGAACGTCAAGCGAGGCGCGAGTGCTGCATGGGCTTCGCCGGACAGGGGTCTGCCCGCAACTTCTGCTTTGGGCTCAAGCGCATCCTGAATCGTGATTTCAAGCGCATCCTGAAGAACGATTTGGGCATTCAGTATAATATCAGTGTTTCTGACGAGTCGCCTTGCCAAGTGCACTTTGGCGGTGAACTTGCGCTCGCAGTCAGCGCCAACGGTGCCGCGGCGGAGCGCACCTGGGAAGGTGAATGGAAAACTTGGGGGAGAGGGCTGCGCAGCCGCCCCAACCTTGTGGAACTAACGCAGACATGCGATCTAATTCTGCAGCGAGCGCAGGCGGGGGTGAAGGGAAGCCCAAAAGGCAAATCAAAAGGAGGCGCCAGCATATAGGAAATGCGGCGGGCGCTGGATATGAGTTTGGATTCGGTGCGCTCGGCAACCAGCGCCGGGCCAGCAGATTTCAAATCTTGATGAATTTGGCCTCCTGGACGTACCTTCCGGAACTGCCGCGTCCACCGCAGATTCTTCATTGCAGTGTTTTCGTTCTCCGCGTTCTCAGTGTGGCACCTGCTACCGTGCCGGTTCCAGTAGCGATCTGGAGCCAGATGGCATGGCCGAGCTCCCCACTTTCCCTGCGCAGTTTCACCCCCAAGAGGACTGGCAGCCTCTTCGCGCGCAAGGTTTTCAGCAGCGAGTTGGAGACAACGGGATGGGCAAAGATGCCAACGCCATTTCTCCACTTGTTCCTACCCTTCCCCCTCCACAGCATCTGCGTCAAGAGCGCCGGCCCTCGTTGCAGTTTTGTTTGGGCGTCGTGCTGCGACCGGCGGTTGTTTCGCGTTCTCTGCCGCCCTGCGCTGCGCTATGCCGTGGCCCTGTTCTTCCTCCCTCCGCCCGCCCTCTTCGCGAAGGGTTGCTGGAACCCCGTCTTCTTCAACAGGCCATGCTTGGGGTAGGCCCCGGTCTGCCCGTCACCCTTGTTGCCCCGGTCGATTGGGCGCGTGGAATGTGGAAGGTTTACGCGGCGACGCGATCATCGAGAGAGACGAGCTCATTGACGCCGTGCGCATGCGAGACTTGAATATTCTTTGCGTGCAAGAAACGCATTTGCATGGTTTCGAATATTACTCACGAGGCGGTTGCACTGTATTCCTGTCGGGCGAGCTGGACTTGGACGCGCGGTCGCACGCCAGAGTGGGTTTCATAGTGGCACCGCGTGTTCTGAACAGCATCGTCGCTTTCAAGGCGTGCGCCTCCAGAGTGGCTTCATTGAGAATCCAAATCAAAGCTGGCATGCTAACCCTTTTCTCGGTATATGCCCCGCGCAATCGTCGCCCCTATGAGGGGCGGCAATCTTTCTACGTGGATCTACAGACGCAGATTCGGGCGACCACCGCACACAGAACAGCGTGCATCATGTGTGAATTGAATGCTAGACTCCTGCGGGCTGGAGCCGGAGAGCATAGCGTTATTGGGCCTCGTGTTTGAGTGCCCTAATGTTGCGGATTCGCCAGTGCCAGCCGCTGTTTCCAACGGGCAGCTCCTAGTGGAAATGTGCGCGTCCTTCGACCTCGCACGCGCGCGCCCGCCGGCCCGGAAGCCGTCCCTACGCGGGAGGCGCGGCGGAGCCTCGGCTCCGGCCCTCGGATGTACGTTAGCACGGCGTCGATCCACCTTTTTTTCTGTCTGTGTGACCGTCTCGTCAGCCCAAGAGCTTCCCATATGAATGCACGGTGAGCCCAGCTGTCTACCGCCTCTTGCATCTTTCTGTTCCATTGTGTTGCTGCAGACTTGTGGCTTTCAATCCAGTCGCGAACGCCGAGTCGCCTGCATCTTTCCTCGACCTCGTGAGTGGCTCTCTGACACCACTCTGCCCATGGTTCCAGAACAGGAGCACGATCATATGCCGACTCATATGATGACGCTGATCCTGGTGATGACGTGGAAGTAAGTGGAACACATGCGGCCACCAGCCAGCGACGACTACCGTAGATCATATCATGCGCAGCGTCTTCCGCTGCACCCGGCGCAACTTGTCAGTCAGCTCCTGCGTCAGCACCCACGTTGCACTGCCGTACAAGAGAACGTTGGACACCGTGGCGCCAAAGAACTTCAAACGAACATTCAGAGAATACGTATTATTTACCAGTTGTGCACGCTGCGCCATAAAACTCTTCCATGCCATGTTGATCCGGTGATCAACTTCAACGTCGTGTGGCCGATCAAAGCATAACTGCCTTCCCAAGTACTTCGTTCTCTCCTCTTACGGCATAATCTCAATGCTCATGTCTCCGACTTGCACGTGCGATGTTTTTGGTCGCCCGGTGCCTTTGGTTGCGTTCGTCAAGATTTTCGTTGTGTCTGGGTGGAGTATCAATCCACGTTTTTGGGCTGCCTTCTGTAGATCATTTAACATGATATTCCGTTGACGTAAGGACGTCCCAATGAGTAAAACGTCATCTGCGAAGCGTAGATTGGTAAGCTGCCGGTGCTTGCTGCAACCCGTTCTCAATCCCCAAGACTTCTTTTCCCAAGCTGGCCTGACCTCAGCAAAGATATCTTCCAGGACTGCGTTAAATAGCAAGCTGCTGAGCGGGTCGCCTTGCTTGGTGCCGCGAAAGATGTCGAACTCCTTGCTCATGCGGTCGGTGCGTACTCCTTCCCGAATGTCCACAATGCGAACTCTTTAGCAATTGAACGTATCCGTCTGTGACGCCTTGTCGTTCCAGAGCCTCCGTACCCACATTTGGACGGAAGCCTGCATGATCAACTCCTTGGCGCGCGTCCAGGACAGGAAACAAGTGAGAGTGCAGTAGTTTGGGAAAAAGCTTATACAATAACGGTATGACCGTGATGGGCCTGTAATTGCGAGCAAGTGCTGCGTCTCCAGACTTATGTAAGACAGAAGCTATAGATTTTTTCCAGCTACTTGGTGGAACGCCGGTTGCCGAGATGATGTCGTTGAACAACTTCAATATCAAAAGCTCCAAATGTTTGCCGCCATGCTTGATCATTTCGGCAATGACCCGCCTTTGGTCCTTACATTTCCCACGCTTCAGTTTTTTGATCTGCGCTCGGAGCTCTGCTAAGGTAAACTCGGGAATTTGGCTCTTGACGTTGTCGTCCTGGTCAGCTGGCTCTTGAGAATCATCTTCGCGATAGAGCTGCGCGTAAAAGTCGGCAAACACATCTGCAATCGATTTCCTGTCAGTGATCGTGTTCCCGTCGTCGTCAACCATGTGGGAAATCAAGCTCTTCCTTTTGATATCTTTTACCTTCGGGATTTGGCGTACACCTCGAAACGATTCCAAGATGTCGTTAATTCGTTTTGTCGAATTGGCTCTTCGCATTGCGCGGACCTCTCTGGAAATTTGCTTGCTCAATGTCTTCCCCTCGCCACGAGAGTTCGTCATTGCCTTTCTCTGTTCCAAAAGACGTTGCAGATCGGTATCTCTACGGTCTCTCGGCCGAGGGTCGCCGTGAGTTCCTTGAGCCCTGCCGGCGGCATCCACCATTAGGCTTTCAATATTATCGCACATTGCATCCGCGTTCTCTGGGGTAGTCCAATCGCCACAAGCTTCTCGCACTTTGACAACATATGTAGAGATATCAACACATGACCAATCAACAGCCGTCTTCTGCGACTTCTTGTCTCGACGCATCCAGTGGCCGATGCGCAACTCCGAACATTGAGACACTGGGTTGTTCCAGAATCTGTCAAGCTTCCCAAACATTTTGAATATATCAAGATATAATCTATCTGTCGCTGGTTCCCATTCGCTCCGTGGTGCGTGACTTTGAAAATAGGCCTTTTCGAAAAGAACGTGTTCGCAATGCTCAGTCGCTCCGTGCACGCCCATGTTTTCAACCATTGCCCTCTTGCATTGGCCTGTCGTAGCCCATGAGGTCCGAGAGTGCGTCGTGCATCACCTTCTTCTCTGCTGCCCACTTCTGCATTGAAATCCCCAGCAAGAACAAATCGGAGTCGTTTGGTTCTGGCCTCCTTACGCGTTTTGGACAGCATGTCGTACAAATGCTGCAGGTGGGTGTCTGCGTAGCTAGAGTGCGGAAAATAAGCGGACGCAGAACGAACGCGAAAAGAATCAGAGACTATATCTGCGAAGCACGCTCTCTCCGAAAGCCGTGTAAAATTACGGATGCAGTTCGCCCACCGCTTATTCGCCAGAAGTGCGACTCCTCGGCCACTGCCGTCCCAGCCACATCCAAGAAACACGTGACCACCATCCACCGTAAATAATTCCGTTTTCTCTCTCTCCAAGTTTCGTTCACATTCATCAGGTCCCACATCACCCCGTCAAGTTCCTTCAGGAGCTCAGCGATCCGACATCAGAAATCAAGCTTCGAACATTGATATGTAAAATGCGTAATTCTTCATGCCCAGAATTAGGTAATTCCTCCATCGTCGGCAACTTCGAGCCTTCCGGTAGCGAGTGTTTCAGCGCTGATATAGGAAAATCGCCATCTACGTGTTGGAGTGCTCCACGCCCTCCCCCCTTGAAAGAAGCCGCCCTTGAACTGGTACTGGTTCCCCTTGCGCACGTGTCCCGGCCGTGCGCTCCATCATGTGGTCACTCGTTTTCCTCGCTCTCCGTGGCCGGCTCCGGGTTCACCTTCGCCAACCACTTCCTAATCGAGTCCTCCACTGCCTTCTCCACTGCCTTTCCTGTCGCTGTTGTGTGTCACTCCCCCTCCTCGTCGTGCCAAGCTACCTTCCTCTCCTTACCCTGCCCATCCCTCATTACGACAATGTTTTTTGGCCAGATGATTTTAACTGTTGTATCTTTGCAACTGTCGTGATCAGAAAGATGGTGCTTCATGTACCCCAGCCTTTTATCACGTGCTCGCTCCTCACGCGTCAGGTTGTTTTTGAAGAATGCCTTCCCAAACATCGCCTTGCTGTCAACGTCCCGGAGCTTTTTGTAGAAGGTGATCTTCTCCGGCACGGAGTCGAAGGTAATCAATGCGAATTTGGTTGGATCTTTCGGTGCTGTTACCTTAGCGCTGGTATCTTCGCGGAGCAAGGTCTTCAACTTACCCTCGATGTCAGCGATGATATTCGACGCCTCCACGTGAGCGGGAAAGCCTGAGTCAACTACCTGTCTCGTACGTTCCTCCTCCTGCTGTGTGTAATTGACGTGACCTGTAATTTTCCCACTTCCCCCCACATGCTCCTTCACGATATCTTTCACTATATTTGGTAAGTCGGCCTTCTTAATAGTGCTGTCCCTGATGATGTTCATCTCCCCCTTGACTTTATTCACCGCTTCCTCTGCCATGCTCGCGGCGTACTTGGCCTGCTGCGCCATGTCTTTCGCCTCTTTCACCTCCTTCCTCGTGTTTTCACGTCGTTCTTCATTCTTCCATCATGCTCATTATCGTCTTCATCATCTCCTTCTCGCTCATGTCTCCATCCCCTCCCTCCATACCTTCATCCACCACTTCCTTCTCTTCTTCTTCCGCCTTGAGTTTCTTGTCTTTCGGACTCGAACCGGTGTCCGAATACGCCTTCTTCTTTCAGGATTTGTCATTGGGCGCCATTTGGAACGAGAGATGCAAAGTTGTAAGTATGTCAGGGCCGCTCACGCCCTCTCGCCTGAGTGTATTTGAGCCGCACTTGAGCCAAAATGGCTTCCTTCGACCTCCTGGTGGCGAATACTTACTACGACCATCCAGTAAGCATGGAGATCTCGTTTAGGAATCTTGGCGTCGCTCCCACAGGCGATGCCATATCTGGACATGAGTTCGCTCAGCTGGACCACGTGTTATGCCATCGCAACGTTCTGCGCGCCGTCGAGGATATCTGGACGAGCCGGCAGGACGTACTGAACGCGCATCATTACCTCACCATTTTGGAATCATCAAATTTGGCATTCATAGTCGAAGAGCCTTCAAATAGAGAGTTCATAGACACGTCGGGTCTCAGAGATCCGCACACAAAATACTGATTTATTTATATCAGCATTTGCTGGGGCCGTCGGCAGCTCAATGGATAATGAAACGGATTCTGTGGATGTTGCGAACGATTGGATTCGACGTGGTTTCGAAAAAGCGGCTGAAGTGTTGCCCGAGCGAGAAGCGGGCCCCAAGCAAGCGTGGTCTAGCCAGCGCGCGCTCGACTTGATCGAACAGCGCAAACGAGCACGTTCAACCAGCGACCGCAATGCGGAAAAGCAGCTTCACAAAATGATACGGCAATCAGGGGCACAAGATCGCAGAGACTGGCTGGATGTATTAATTCAAAGGGGAGGGTGGGAAGCAATTCGACATCTCAAAACACCCGCATGTATCATGCATGCGTCGATGCAGCGACCTGATGGAAGCCTGGCAGACACAGCTGAACGAGCAGATGTGTTGGCCGACTACTTCGAAGACGTTCAATGACAAGTTCGCTTCCCAGAGAGCTCTCCAGAGCCGCGCCCCCCCATAGGCAATCAGCTGCCTATCAACGCGTGCCCGTTTGCCATGGAAGAACTTGACGAAGCGCTTCGCCGGCTACGTCGTGGTAAAGATCCTGGACCCGATGGGGTGCCGCCTGATTTCCGGAAAACGTTGGGGTCGGACCTGGGAGCTTCTGCAATTATGCTTCGTTTGTGCCAAAAGTGCTGGGAACAAAAATCCATTCCCGCATCTTGGGGGCGTGCGGACGTGGTTCCCTTTGTTCAAGAAGGGAACAATCACTTTCCCTGAAAACTACAGACCAATTTCACTTCTGCAAATTGGATATAAGGTTCTTGCGTCCATGTTGCACCAACGTTTGCTTCGAGGTGGAACTGAACCAAGAATGCGGGATTCACAATTTGGTTTTCGCCCTGGGCGTGGGACGGCCGGCGCTCGCATGCTGGTCCGGCGCATGGTTGACGCGGCACATGCTAGCAATAATGGTGGTCTCATTATGTTGATGTTGGATTGGGCGAAAGCTTTTGACATACTGAAACCATCAAGAATGTGCCACGCTCTACAACGTTTTGGGCTACCACCAGACATGGTCGCTATGATGGGAGCAGTCTGCGTCGAACGCTACTTCGGGATCCTTGACCACGCCGGAAAATCGAAAGGAAGACAGCAGCAGGCTGGCATCGCGCAGGGATGTTCTCTTTCCTCGTTCTTGTTTATTGCAGTACAGACGGTCATGTTGCACGATGCCTTTGAGGCGATCAATCTCGAGGCTGACCCCGCCTGCGTGGTGACGCGGGACATCTTGTATGCAGGCGACGCGCTCTTGGCCTCGCAGAGCAAGACGAAGGTCCAGAGCATGTTGAATGCTATTGTGGCGGAGGGGCGTAAATATGGTCTCGAGCTTAACTGGGACTATCCAAATGCATATTGCTACCAATGAGTTGGTTGTCCGGCCTGATGGCGGTCCCATCAAAGCCGTCCGGGAAACGGTTTACCTGGGGGGGATGATCAATTGCGATGGTAAAGCATCTCCAGAAATCACCAGCCGCTTGGGGGAAGCGCGTGGCATCTTCAACAAGTTTGGAAAGATATGGTCGCACGCCGCGGCTGGGTGGAAACGAAAATTCAATTTATACGAAAGCGTCGTTCTAAGCAAGCTGCTGTATTCACTCGATTCTCTGTGGCTGTTAAAGGCAGACAAATGCAGGCTCGACGCATTTCACTGCCGCTGCCTGCGGCGCATCTTGGGCATGCCGCACTCGTTTCTGTCGCGCGTGAGTAACGCGGACGTCATGGACAAAACTGGCGCCAAACCTCTTTCCCAGATTCTGCTTGGAAGGCAAGACAAGTTGTATCTCCAAATCGCAGCAAGCGCTTCTTCATCCGTGGTACGCACATGCTTATGTAATATCGATGGTGCTCCTAAAGAGCCGGGTGGTGCACCGGAGGCGCGGCCGACCCAGGCAGCGGTGGGCTACCGAAGTGTACGAGATTGCGCGGCACATCTGAGGCATCCCGGTTTTGTCCTCCAATTCCTCTGCCTCCTTTGTCTCGCTTTCGTTTTTTTTTTTTTTTTTTTTTTTTTTTGAAGAAGAGTTGCCAATCGCGCGCTCTTCTGCCCACGCGTCCCTCTGGATGCTCGGCTTAGTGGTGGTGGCTGGCCTGGAGATGCCAGGAGGAGCACAGCCGTGCCAAGAAGATCGAGTGGCGCAGGTCGAGCAAGGGCCCTGGCAGCCAGCTCCCCGACGTGGCCGGGTACGCCCACCAGGTCGGCCAGTTCTCGCAGGTAGTCGTGCGCGGAGGAGGACGCATGGTCCCTGGGGACCAGCCGGAGCGAGCCCTTGATATGCTGGATCGTTTTGTGAGCGGCGCCGGCTTCGGGGGCCCAGTGCCGGACGCTCCCCAGGCGAGCCCGCCGCTCGTGGTCTGAGCGGGTCTGAGACGAAGCGCGCTGTGCTCGTTTGAAAATGCTGCGCAAGTCTCGTTCCTGCCAGACGTTCTAGGCTATGCATGAAACACTCGATGGCGAGGGCCATCGTATTCACCGCGCGACAGTTGCTCGACTGCATCCGCAAGCGAGGGCCTCGGTGCACGCGCTGAGATGTCGGCGTCAAAATCATCATTATCATCATCATCATCATCATCAGCATTCTCATTTTCATTATCAGCAGCATTAACATCAGCATCAGCATCATCATCACCGTCATCATTATCATCAACATTAACACCAGCACCAGCATCATCATCCCCATCCCCATCATCACCATCATCATCATCACCACCATCAGCATCAGCATCAGCATCAGCATCATCATCATCATCATCATCATCATTATCACCATTATCAGCATCAGCATCAGCATCATCATCCTCATCACCGTTTCTGTCACCACCACCATCACTATCATCATTCCTTTTTCAACTATCACCATTACCAACCGCATCATCGTCACCATCATCAGTACCATTCTCACTATCAGCATCAGCATCATCATCAGCATCATCATCAACAATCGGCATCCGTTTAACCATCATCACCACCACCACCATCATCATCATCATCATCATCATCATCATTCGCATCAGCTTCACCACCACCATCCGCAACATCATCTCAGGACCTTGACTCCTGCAGGTGAGGCGCTAAGCTTGGTGATGCGTCGTTGCATGGAGAGCGATCTTCGGATGCCCTAAGAGCTCTCCGAAGGTCTCTGGAGGTCCTTTGAGGCCTGTGGAGGTCCCACTAGCGTAGGAACCAGTCAAATCCACGATCCTCCTACCCTTCCTCCTCTTCCACGCCCCCGCCTGCTTCTGCAGCCTTCTGAGGGTCCTTGGAGGCCTCGCGAGGCCCCAAGAGCTTCGAAACATATCAACCTCCTCGATGCTCCTCCTCCTCCTCCTCCTCCTGCTTTCCTCCTTCTTAGAAGACTCCTCCTCCTCCTCCTCCTCCTCCTCCTCCTCCTCCTCCTCCTCCTCTCCTCCTATGTGCACAAGTTGTGGACAAGCTTGGCAAGCAATTCCACTTGACAGCGCTCTGTGGTCTTGGCTTGGAGGAGGACTGCGTCTGCAGACAAGGAGTGGATAATCTGATCGAGTGAGTCGGCCGGCAGGTTCTTCCTCATCTCCTTTTCCCAACCCACATTGAAACCTTTCTGTTGGCGTCAAGGTGCCACCGCCTAGCCCCTCGTAGGACCGTCCCGCGCCGCGAGACGAGTAGAAGCCGTGTCCGTGTCCGTGTCCGCTGGAGGTCCTTGGACGCCCATAGAGGCCCCACCAGCGTACAACACAGTGCAAAACTAGGTCCTCCTCCTGCTCCTACTCCTCCTGCTCCTGCTCCTCCCCCTTCTCCTCTTCCTCCTCCTCCTCCTCCTCCCCTTCTCCTCCTTCTCCTCCGCCGCTCCTCCTCCTTCTCCTCCTCCTCCTCCTCCTCTTACTCCTCCGCTCCTCCTCCTTCTCCTCCTCCTCCTCCTCCTCCTCATCCCCCCCATTGTCCTCCTCCTTCCCCCCTGCTGCCTCTCCGTCGCCGACAAGGTCGAGCACGACGACAGCGCCGTCGGCGCTGGCGCGGCACGGGTGGCGAACGGACACAGATGGCGATGGGGCCCAGATATTGCCGACGCGTGTGGGCGACATGGGGTCTGTCACCTAGTAGCTCGAACCTCCTCCTCCTCCTCCGCCTCCGCCTCCGCCTCCGCCTCCGCCTCCGCCTCCCCCTCCTCCTCCTCCTCCTCCTCCTCTCCTCTCCTCCTCCTTCCTCCTCCCCTTCTCCTCTTCCCCTTCTCCTCCTCCTCCTCGCTTCCAATCTTCGTCTCCTCCTCCTCCTCCTCCTCCTCCCCCTTCTCCTCTTCCCCTTCTCCTCTCTCCTCCTCTCCTCCTCCTCCTCCTCCTCCTCCTCCTCCTCCTCCTCATCCTTATCCGAGTCGACGACGGCGACGTCCAGGAACAGCGAGGACGTCGTCGGGGAACGAGAAGGACCACGATTCATAGGGCACTCCTGGGTCCGGCGCCATAGTGCCTGTCACCTGTCAGTTCCAACTCCTCCCGATCCTCCTCCTCCGCCTCGTCCGAGTCGATGCCGACGACTCCCAGAGACGACGAGGACGACGTGCAGGAACGACGAGGAGGACGACTCGTGGTGCACTCCTGGGGCTGGCGTCAGGGGGTCTACCACCTCCTCCTTTCCCTCCTCCTCCTCCTACTCCTCCCGATCCTTCCGATCCTCCTCTTCCTCCTTCTTCTCCTCGTCGTCCGAGTCGAGTCGACGACGACGACGACTTCCAGGAACGACGAGGACGACGTCCAGGAACGCCGGGGGACCTGTCACCTAGGGGCGCCAGGCGCTTGTTCGCTCTCCCCCCCTCCCTCCGCGCACGTATTTGCACGAATGAAGAGTTTTTGGCCAGACGCATGCGCGACCCTGAAGTGGACACCCCCCTCCCCTGGGGGCCGTGGACACGTAAAAACACGTGCCCCCCGCGCGCACGCGCCAGGCGCGTGTTCGCCTCTGGCGCGTGCTGGCCCCCCCCCCCCTCCCCTCATCCCGCATTTTTACATGTAGATCAGTCTTCGCTTCTAAGCCTGTCACCCCCCTGGGGGCCTCGTTTGCGCCAGGAGCACTTGAAAACACGTGATGAACGCATGCGCGACCTTCCCCTTCTGGGGGCCGTGGACATGTGCCCCGCGCGCGCGCGCCAGGCGCATGTTCGGCCCCCTCCCTTCCGCGCGGCTTTTCAGGGGTGAAGAATCCGCCGCTTCTAAGTTGAACCCCCCGGGGGTGCGTTGTCGCCAGGAACACGTGCAAACACGTGCCAAACGCATCCGCGACCTTGTGTTGCATACCCCTCCTGGACACGTGAGAAGCACGTGCCCCGCGAGCACGCGTCAGGCAGGTCGAGTGTCCCCTCTGCGCGCGTATGTCCACGTGAAGAGAATCTCCCTCTGCTAAGCTGGCTACCCCCCTTGGGGGCCTCTTGTCGCCAGGACACACATGAAAGCACATGCCACACGCATGCGCGACGCGACGCGTGTTGGAGGCCCCCTCTTTCCGCACTCGCATTCTTATGTGCCCAATGCCGACGCCACGCGGCTCGACACCTTTTTTGTTGCACGGCCACAGGCCCTGGACACTGCAAGAGAACCCCGGGCCCGCAGAGGCCAGCGCGAGATGGCAAGAGAAGCTGGCATTGGGGAGAGCGCTGGGGTGCAGGACCCGCTTTCACTTAGGATCGGAGGGCACCAACTCTACACCCTGCACCCGAGGAGGGGCAGGCGTGGATCCGCGACGTTTGGATTGGCGACGGGCCTTGTTTCCGTATCGGATCGGCGCGCTCGGTCGCCACATCGGGCGGCGTTGGCCTCACATTTCGGGGGGTACCTTCCCCAATCCGTGGATTTGGCGCCCAAGATCGGGGTAGTTATGCCTTCCTGCCCGAGCCAGGAGGGCGTATGTACGACCCCGTTCCCTCATGCCACGGCATGCCCTTGTGTTGCGGTTGTCTCTTTGGATGCTGCAGGTCTGATCCATACCTCCCTTTGGTAGTCGCCTTGCATACAACACCTGTGCCTGAAGCGGGGGACGGCGCTAGACGGATATCATACACCCCATCCTCTTCCTCCTCCCCCGTCACTCCTCTCTCCTCCCTCCTTCCTCCTCACTCCCTCCCATCTGTCTCTCTCTCTCTCTCTCTCTCCCTCCTTCCCTTTTTTTTGGGGGGGGGGGGGTGCTCTCTCTCTCTCTCTCTCTATATATATATATATATCTCGCTCTTTCCTTCTCTCTTTCTCTCACTCTGTGTGTAGATACGTTAGTCTATACATGTACATATACTCATATGTACATGAGCATACCCCTCCTCTCCCCCTCGACGATTCGAATGCGCTGGGGGAACCGCAGCGGTGACGAGCGAGGCGCGCCCGCATAAGCAGAGGGAGCGGGCGGCCGGCGGAGAAGCGGCGCCAGGTGTACGTGATTGCCGCGGACCCCAGGAGCTCCGCGGGCTCAACTCGACATGGCCATGGCCCATCTCGATCCGTTCGAGCCGACTCGATGCCGATGTCGGCCAGCTCGATCCGATGCGGTTCGATTTGCCGTCGATCCGAGGGGTCCCGATGATCGCACGGCGCCGCTGGTGCTACCTGGCGCGGCCGATCCGATCCGAGTCCGACGCCGCGCCGATGCAGCCAGGCCGGACGCACTGTCTGATCCGCCCCGATCTCCCGATTCGATGGTGATCGTTTTCTTAGTCATTGTTTTTCCGATCGGCGCGGGCCCTCGCACCCCCCCTCCCCCACCCCTTATGGAGTAGATCTTGGCTGTTTCTGGCGCTCGTTTCGAGCAGGTGGAGTGTCCCCCATAATGGACGCCCTTGTTGCAAACAGTCGCACTAAGCATAGGTCCAGAGCCAGACCCCCCTTGCGCCCAATGTCGAAACGCCGAATAAGGAAACACTCATCATGGCCAATCCTGGCTCAATGCGGCCAGAGATTTTGGAATGATGGCCGCTCTTGTTTTCGACCAGGGGGCGGAGGCTCCTCGAGATGTAGCGCTCGTGCTCGCTGTGGGCAAAGCTTTGGCTGCGCGTCGCCAGCCACCTCCCCTCCTCCACCCAGGAGACGGGGAGGGGACGAGGATGGCCGAGGGCCTGGGGGGGAGGGGGAATAGAAGAGGAGATGAGCAGGGGAAGATCAAAGGAGGAGGACGGGGAAGATCAGAAGAGGAGGAGGAGGAGGAGGAGGAAGAGGAGGAAGAGGAGGAGGGGGAGGAGGACCAGGAGGAGGAGGAGGAGGAGGAGGAGGAGGAGGAGGAGGAGGAGGGAGGAACATGAGGATGAGGAGGAGGGAGGATGACAGCAAGACGGGGGGACGAAGGGCGAAACGATGTTTGCATGGGTGGTGCGCATCTCTGGGCCCCGCAGGAACGGGCGCATCGACCTCTCCTGCAAGGAGTTCGAGGACCCTCTGCCAGGCAGGGGAGGCATCCCAGCGCAGTGTCCGGGCACCCCCCTGAGCGGTGGTGGTGCTGTTGCTGTTACAGCTCCTCCCCCAGCTCTTGCTTCCGCCCCTCCCCTCTTTTTCCTCCCCCTCTCACTGAAAGTGGTTACCACCGAGTCTGCATGCGCACCACATTTTTGAGGCCACGGCCTTCACGCCATGCCCTGATAATCACGGGCGGGCTCCCCAGAGGAGCGCGCACGACTTCAGCGTTCGCTTCGCTTCGCTTCGCTTCGCTTCTTGCCCCTCCCCCTCTCCTCCATTCTCGTCATCCACCTCACCCTACGAAAGACTCAACACCGCGGGGATGGCCTTTGTGCGCGCTGACGCATGACTGCTCCGCCGCGGAGCATGACGGCTGGCGTCAGAGGACGCGACGCCAGCGAGTTGTTTATTATCCCATGCAGCCGCCGTCAGCCTTCGGAGACTATGTTGGTCGCACTCCCAATCCCATTGTGGCTCCTCCTCATGCTGTTGCTGCTGCCGCTGCTGCCGGCGCCACGATCTGCGCATCGCTGCGGGTACAATCCTCATCTCGGTCCTGCCGTCGCCGCCGCCGTCGTTAGCAGCTGCTGCCGCCACCGCAGTGCTGCTCTGGGCAACGGGTCCAGATCCACTGTCTCGTACAAATCAGTGCGGCAGTGCTCTGCTGGTGTCAGCCTCCACAGGCCCTCACCAGGATCCGGGACTGGCGGACATCGACTCAGGGTGAAAAGACTGGCCCTGGGGAGAAGGGTTGGACCCGCATCGACAAGCATCGTGGCATCAGGTGATCGTTTTTTGTTCACTGTTTTGCCGATCGGGGCGGGCCATCGAACTCCCCCCCCCTCCCCCCCCCTCATGGAGTAGAGCTTGGCTGTTTTTAGCGCCTGTTTCGGGCAGGTGGGGTCTCCCCCGGAGGACGCACTCCTGTAAACAGGCAGAGGTCCAGAGCCAGACCCCCCCCCTCCTCCCCCGTTCCGCCCAATGCCGAAATGCCGAATATCAAGGGCTCAAAAGACGCCCCTACCCTGGTTTTCGAGGCGCTTCGCGCTGAACCTCCTGTGGGCTAACAGGGTAAACCCTGCGTGACGTGCGGCGTCCCAGCGGCTCTCTAGGCTCTCTGGGCGTTCCCAGGAGGTTTCCAGACCACGCACTTGTAACCCAGGGTAGGGCCGTTTTTTTGGCGTCCCTAAGAATAAGAAAACGTTTACCAGGACGTGGGGGGGGAGAGCTGTGCAGACCCACGCAGCGATGCGCAGTGCCGCTTCGCGCAGCAGCGCGCCGCGCCGCGCCCACGAGCGAGCGGCGTGGAGCGGTGCAGCGCGGGGGGCATTTCTGCGGGTCGGGCGCCGCAGGGAGGAGTGGGCCCCCCCTCGCTCTCGCTGCAGTCCCTCGGCTTCCTCTCCTCCTCAGGTCCTCTTCCTCCTTCTCCTCCTCCTCGTCCTCCTCCTCAGGTCCTCTTCCTCCTCCTCCTCCTCCTTCTCATGTCCTCCTCCTCCTCCTCCTCCTTCTCATGTCCTCCTCCTTCTCCTCCTCCTCCTCCTCCTCATCATCCATTATTATCATTACTGTTATCATTCTTTTTTGTTTAACTAATAAAAAATATGTTTCTTTTTTATTTTCATAGTTTTTTTTTAAATAAATAGCAATTTTTAGTATCATCATTATTAATATTAGTAGTATTAGTATTATCATCATCATCGTCATCGTCATCGTCATCGTCATCATCATCAGCAGCATCATCATCATCATCTTTTCATCATCGTCATCAGCATCATCATCATCATCACCACTCTTACCACCATCATTATCATCATCACCAGCATCATCACCATCATCATCATCACCAGCAGCAGCATCATCAACATCATCATCATCATCATTACCAACATCATCATCAACATCATCAGCATCATCATCATCATCATCATCATCATCATCATCATCATCCTCATTCTCATTCTCATTCTCATTCTCATCCGCCTCCTCTTCCTCCTGCCTGGCTTGTGATTTCGGACAAGACCACTGTGCTTGTGACTACTAGCCAGATCAGAGTCCGCATCGGAAGCGTTGTGGACTAATTGAAGCTCACGAGCTCTCGACTGCTGCTGTCGACCTGGGGTGTGATACCGCAGTAGGTAAGACTCGTAGACTCCAGCGTGCTACGCGTAGGCTGTCCAAGGCGAGGAAGCGGTTTAGGCAAATAAGGAAGTTGCTTCGTTCGGAGGAACCTTCGCGCTAGGTAGACCTGGGTCTCCAGGGCAACAACCAAAGAAGGCACACCTGCGACGCCACTGAGATTATTTTCACCAGGCTCAACGAAACGTAGAACTTCTCTATATGCCAGAAGCAGCGTGGCTTTCTGCGCTTCTGCTAGGACTGCTGTTTCATCTAACAGGCTGCGGAGCAGTGCTGCCGGCAATGCTGAATTACCTCTGAGGCTGTGTCCAAGAATTGCTCCAGCCCCGAGTTCCAACTACCAACGGACCCTACATGCATTCGGCTCCACAACTTTCTAACACTGGAGATCGTTCCATTGTTTCTGTCCCCATCGCTGATTCGGCTTAGGCAAGAGCGCACCGATAGTGTCGAATATTTGTTCTGGCCACACTCCCTATCGCTCGATAGCATTGAGAAGGGCGGCCAATTCTTCAATGGCGGGTTGCGGGAGACGCTGGGTGTCGGCCACTCGGAGCACATCAATGCTATAATTTTTTGGCGGGAGTCTCATACCAGAGATAGGGGATTCAATGGGGTCCAGTGGGTCCCCGCGAGTCCTACGGAGCGCTTTCGAGATGACCTCTTGCAGCTCCACAGGGGTGTCCACAGGGTCCTTCCATTTTTGCTGCCACGCCTGCTGTTTTTCGGCCATAGTGGCCGTCGGGTCGGAAATCGCCCGTCCTGGTAAAATAGACTCCAAGGGGGCAGGCGGAACTTGCTGCACATGCTTATGGGGAAGGCCAGGCTTGCTCTTCCAGTGCTCTCGAGTCCAACTCTCAGAAGCACGGCGAGACGCTGCGATGCCCCGAGCGTGCGCACAGGCGGCAAGTCGATCTGCCGCGTCTACAACATCCTGAAGATCGTCGTCTCTCTGGAGACTGACATCGTATAACCACGCAGTCGTTGCATCGCCTACATTTTTCATGTCCTTGCCGACAATTTCGGCCAAGGCCCGGCCATCAAGCTGTGCTACCTACTTGCGATGTTTCGCCATGAACAACTCTAGTTGTCTGGGCTCCTTGCCGCTGCGTCTCAACGAGGCGGCCCTCCTCAGCAGCGTGGTTGGCATCGCCCGCTATCCAGCAGGCCCACGAGAGAGGTGGGCCCTACCTGGGGTGGCCCTCGCTTTCGTGCAGGCCAGAGAAAAGCCCCGAGCACGTCCCTGGAATGGGTCCAGTCCGTTTCCGCCGCCCGGGGCGCTTCTAACATAGCCGCTTCAACTTTGGCAACCCAGCGAGCAAACGACGCACTCACTCGGCTCGTGGCGTCCGAGGGGGCCGCGTGCAACAGTTGGCGGGCGACTGTCCCGTTTCCAGCCGCAGAGGCAAGGACGCAAGGGTAACCTTAAGGACATCAGTGCTTCCTTACTGTGAGTTTTGACTGTAGGCGGTTTCCCAGAAAAGCGCGATCGACTCATTCGTCTCGGCGGGAGTCGGCGACGAGCGAGGGGGGGAAGTGAGAAGGAGAAGGCCTCACTCTGACACGGCAATTCAATTAGCCTGGCGAAGGACCCAACCAGATGCAGTTGTGAGTGCCGCATTTGTGAGGATCGTCGTCAGTGGAACTCCCTATGGCGCCACGAAACGTGTGAGGGGTGTGCCGATCTGGGGAGGTGGGCGGGTGCATGTGAAACCTCTCACTGGGACCTTCGGTGGGGCTCCCTATGGGGCCACGGAACGTGTGAGGGGCGTGCCGAAACCGGCGTGACGCCCGCATGCGAACTGCAGCAATGGGACCTTCGGTGGAGCTCCCTAGGCCACGGAACGTGTGAGGGGTGCACCGAAACGGGCGTGACGCCCACATGCGAACTGCGCCATTGGGACAATTCGGCGGAGCTCCCTATGGGGCCACGAAACGGGTGAGGGGTGTGCCGAACCGGGAGTGCCGCCCATATGCGAACTGCACCACTGGAACCTTCAGTGGAGCTCTCTTCAGGCCCTCGAAACGTGTGAGGGGTGTGCCGAAACGGGCGCGACGCCCACATGCGAACTGCGCCGCGGAGACCTTCGGTGGAGCTCCTCATGGGGCCACGAAGCGTGTGAGGGGTGTGCCGAAACAGAGACGACGCAGGGATGGGAGGAGGGAGGAGGGGGAGGAGGAGTAGGAAGGACCGCGGGGCGCTGTCTCTTCAGAACCAGGGCCCAGCACTCCAGGGGGTGGGGGAAAGCAGATGGCTCACTGACCCGCTCACCCGCCTGCGCCCGCAGCTCAGCCGAGACAGCTGGCACCGCGGTCTGCGAGTGCGCATCTCTCTTATAGCCAGCGGTGGGTGAGCCTGGTCGAAGGCCTCCCGCAGCTCCAGGGCCGGCCGCTCGCGTCCGGCCAGTCGCAGCTCCTCTCGACGGACAGAGCTCTTGCTCGTCGGGGCTACCGGCCTCCCTGGCCTGCCTGCTCGGGGGAGCTCGCGGGGCAGCCGCAGCTTACGAGGCCATGTGGGCTGGTCTCCCTGCCCGCAGGCAGCAGCGGTCCCGCTGAGTCTTCCAGGGGGCCGCCGGCACTGGGGCCAAGGTGATTCGGTTCTCGAGCCCTTCGCTGACCACCGCGAAATCTGTCATCGGGCCTTGACCTGTGTCACGCGTGATGGCGCGCGGAGGCGTGATCACCACCCCTCTCAGGAACTCGCGAATCCTGCCCTGGACAATCTGCCGCGGGGAACGATTCCAATCGCCGATGCTAACGTAGGGGTCAGCCAGGCTCCTGACGAAAGACGCCAGCGCTCTCAGCGTCGCGGCGTTAAGCCCTGACTTAAGCCCGATATTTGGCGCCGAGTAGGCGCGGGTCATGACTGCATTCCCTGCGGCCAGGTGCCGCGCCATTGCCGAGAAGCCGTGGAACGGGCTCGCCGCCGATGGTCTGTGGTGGCGCTCCGGGTGCTGAAAGGAGGACGTGGCCATGTGCGTCCTCGCAAGAATAGCCTCACCTGCAGAAGTACTCGTCTCAGACTTCCCATTGGACCTCGCGGGTGTGGCCACCATCTCTCAGCCATCCTTCCTGGTGGAGTTCACGACCTCGTTGCGAGCGACCCGCATTGAGGTGCGTCTCTGCAAAGAGGCAGATGTTGAACTCCTGCTGGTGGCCACGAACTCGTGAACCGTCGCGCCCCTCTCCGTGACGTTGCCACGCGGGGCCGAGACGCGCTTCCGCTCGTGGTGGGCGCGGGGCGCGTCGATCAGCTGTTCGAAGGCGATGGGCTTCGCCCAGGGGGGCCGCCTGCCCTGCCTCCGACTGGCGCCTCGGCCTTGAGCGCGGCCACCTGTTCTGCTCGCCGCTCGCGACTGTCGCTGGGGCGGCCTCCTGCTCATCGCCGACGTGACCCTTCGCCTCCGCGGCCTTGCTCACCCCTTGGTCCACGGGGACGGCCTCCTGCGCGTCGTCTGCGTGGACGTCGTCCCGATGCGCATCGAGTTCCTCGAAGTGGTCCTGCTCCTCGTGCTGCTGTCCCTGCCGTCGAGGCCTGTTGGACCGCAGAAGCTTCGTGACATTCTCCCGCGCGTGCGGCGAGGCCTGCGCCGTCGCTCTCGAGCCTCCGCTCGTCGGCGGCCCAAGTGGCGCGCCCATCGGTTCAGGAGGTCGTCGACCACCCGCGCGTCCGCGGCCTCTTGCCTCCGATGATAGGCACCGCAGCCTGGTCCTGGCCGAAATCGTCGCCCCTGTCTCTGGAACGCCTCCTCCTCCTCCTCCTCCTCCTCCTCCTCCTCCTCCAGCGTGAGAATTCGCCCGGCAGCCACCTGCATGTGTGGCGAGGCCTGCGCCGTCGCCCTCGAGCCTCCGCTCGCCAGCGGGCTGAGTGACGCGCTCCTCCTCGCGAAAGAGGGCATCGACCACGCGCGCGTCCGCGGCCTCTTGCATCCGACGGTGGTCCTCGCCGCGAGGTCCGCGCCGCTGGTCTTGGCCGAAATCGTCGCCCCTGACGCGGGGGTGACCGCGTTCTCCCCTCCAACATGAAATTCCGCCTCTGCGGCCTCGCTCTCACCGTGGTCCTCTGGGGCGGCAACCTGCTCGTCGCCTGCGTATGCGTTGTCCAAATGCGCGTCAGAATCCTCGGAGGGGGCATGCTCCTCGGGGCCATCTATCCGATGTGCTGATATCACTGCCGTCGAGGCCTGTCCGACTGGAACTCCGTGAAATTCTCCTGCATGTGCGGCGAGGTCTGCGCTGTCACTCTCAAGCCTCCGCTCGCCAGCGGGCTGAGTGAAGCGCTCATCGCGAAAGAGGGCATCGGCCACCCGCGCGTCCGCGGCCTCTTGCGTCCGATGATCGGCCTCGCCGCTGGCCCTGACAGGAGCTCCATGCAATTCTCCTGCTTGGGTGGCTCGGCCTGTTGAGAGCCTCCACTCGTCAGCGGGTTGAGTGACGCGCCCATCGGGAAGGGGGGCGTCGGCCGCCCGCGCGTCCGCGGCCTCTTGCATCCGAGGAACGGAGTCCCCGCGGGCCCAACCATCCGACGGCCAAGGACCCGACGTCGAGTCCATGCCGCGGGGTGGAGCCCCCGGCTCTCCGCACCGAGGCCAGCTGGGGCCATGCCAGGCCCGAGGCTGCCCAGGAAGGGCGAGGGCCTCTGGGGCCTTCACCCGCTCCGATCCGCTCGCAGGCACTCGCCGGAAGAGTGCCTTCTGCACGGAGCCGAGCGAGTGCAGCCGCGGCGAAGCTCTCGAGGGTGCCGAGGGCCTTGCCAGTCGAGCCTGTTCGTGGCAGGCGCCTTGCCGGTCGAGGTCCGTCCTCAGCCAGGCCGCCACCGCCGAGTCGATGCTCCCGAACATGCCCGCAGCTCTCCGCGAAGCCCTCCGAGGGGGCGCATGACCTTGCCCTTCGTCTTGAAGGACCAGCCGCAGCCGCCTGTCCGTAGCAGGTCGGCTCGAGCATTGCCGATACCAGCTCGTTCGCGCCAGCGTCCGTGAGGGAAACGTGGCCCGGGTCCGCGCGCCGCCTCGAAGATACGCGGATGCAAGCCCAGCGCACCCCAGCGCCCGGACCGAGACGGTTATGTAGGTAGGAGGAGGGGGAGGAGGAGGAGGAAGAGGAGGATGCTGAGGAGGAGGATGAGGGGCAGGTGACCACGTCGGCTGGAAGATGATAGGTATGAGCATCTGAATCTGGATCTGGATCCGGATGAAGGAGGATCATCGTCAGCCTGTATAGGTAGAAGGAGGTGGAGGAGGAGGACGAGGGGGAGGCCCAGAAGGAGGGTGAGGGGAGGACGACGACCACGTCGGCTGGATGACCAGCTTCCCGGATCGCATCATGGCCAACTGGCAGCAAGGTCACTAGGGGCGGGAGGCATCGTTCAATGATTTTCCAACGTTTATTGCTGCTCAATTGCCAGTGCCATTCCCGCTGATACGACCATGATCGAACGCATTTGCATCATGAGTGTAGCCCGAATCAGTACAACTTATGCCTGCTGTTTTTCCCCACATCCTGAGTGGGGTTCTTGTTTTCCCAGAACATCCTCTCCTTCTCCCTCCCGCCTCCCGTCTCCCATATAAATACCATGCCTACCATTCCAGCCTCCCATATCATACCATGCCTACCATTCCGTACCATACCCTACCTACCATACCATACCATACCATACCATACCATACCATGCAATGCCATACCATACCATACCATACCATACATACCAAACACTACCAACCAATACCATACCATATCATACCATACCTACCATGTCATACCACACCATACCATACCATACATACCACACACTACCGAACAATACCATACCATACCAACCATACGATATAGCACACGTACCATACCATACCATACCACACCATACCACATCACACCTACCATACACTACCATACAATACCATACCATACCTACCATACAATAGCATACCTACCATACGATACAATACCACACCACACATACCATACAATACCATACCAAACTTCCCATACAGTACCATACCATACATACCTTACCATACCATACCCGCAAGAGCGAGCAGGGTATCGGAGTACCACACTATTTACTAGGTTTCGTGCCCCTCCCGCCCCTCCAGGGAGGCCCCGCCTGAGCGAGGAGGGTGTCGGGAACCCGTACTATTTACATGGTTTCGTGCCCCTCCCTCCCCTCCAGGGAGGCCCCGCCTGAGCGAGGAGGGTATTGCGAAGGCCTTACGGCCGGTGCCGCCGACCCTGAAGACGAAGAAGAGGAAGAAGAAGATGTCGAGAGGGGGGAGGGCCTGGGACGTCTTGGAGGCTTCTTGGACGGTCTTGGGGCTATCTTGGGCGTGTTCGGCCGATCTTTGGGCGACTCGGGGCACTCTTGGGCCGTCTCGGGGGCCATCTTGGGCATTCGGACCTCATTTGAAGTGTTTTCGAGGTTTCGAGGCCGCCCGAGGAAAAACGAATATGCCCCCCCAACCCCCACCCCCCCCCACCCCCCCTGGGACCCCCCCCGGGACCCTCTCCGGGACCCCCCCGGGACCCCCTCCCCCTTTGGAAGGGATCAAAGGGAAGGGGCTTCCCTTCGAATCTACAACGGCATGACGGCAGAAGGGTACGGCCCAAAAAGAAAAAAGGGGGAAGGAAGAAGGGGGGGCGGCGAGGAAATGAAGCCGTTCACTTCATGTCGAATCTACAACGATGACGATCCGAACAACGAAAACACAACGATGTCAATCCGAACAACGAAGACGATTCGGACGAGGAAGCCCCTCGCACACGCCGACAGGGTCGGCGGATTGGAAACCCATACTATTTACATGGTTTCGTGCTCCTCCCATCTCTCCAGAGAGGCCCCGCCTGAGCGAGGAGGTTATCGGAAACCCATACGATTTACATGGTTTTGTGCCCCTACCACCTCTCCAGGGAGGCCCCGCCTGAGCGAGGAGGGTATCGGCAACCAATACTATTTACATGGTTTCGTGCCCCTCCCACCCCTCCAGGGAGGCCCCGCCTGAGCGAGGAGGGTTTCGGAAACCCATACTATATACTATTTACAAGGTTTCGTGCCCCTCCCACCCCGCCAGGCAGGCCCCGCCTGAGCGAGGAGGGTATCGGACACCCATACTATTTACATGGTTTCGTGCCCTTCCCACCTCTCCAGGGAGGCCCCGCCTGAGCGAGGAGGGTATCGGAAACCCATACTATTTACATGGTTTCGTGCCCCTCCCAGCCCTCCAGGGAGGCCCCGCCTGAGCGAGGAGAGTATCGGAAACCCATACTATGTACATGGTTTCGTGCCCTTCCCTCCCCTCCAGGGAGGCCCCGCCTGAGCGAGGAGGGTATCGGAAACCCATACTGTTTACATGGTTTCGTGCCCCTTTCCACCTCTCCAGGGAGGCCCCGCCTGAGCGAGGAGGGTATCGGAAACCAATACTATTTACATGGTTTCGTGCTCCTCCCACCCCTCCAGGGAGGCCCCGCCTGAACGAGGAGGGTATCGGACACCCATACTATTTACATGGTTTCGTGCCCTTCCCACCTCTCCAGGGAGGCCCCGCCTGAGCGAGGAGGGTATCGGAAACCCATACTATTTACATGGTTTCGTGCCCCTCCCACCTCTCCAGGGAGGCCCCGCCTGAGCGAGGACGGTATCGGAAACCCATACTATTTACATGGGCTCGTGCCCCTCCCGGCCCTCCAGGGAGGCCCGGCTGAGGATATCGGAAACCCATGCTATTTGCATGGTTTCGTGTCCCCCCTCCACTCCTCCAGAGAGGCCCCGTCTGAGCGAGGAAGGTCGCGGAAGTCATTACTCTTTACCAGGTTTCGTAGCCCTTCCCCCTTCCAGCGGGGCTCCGCCAGAGCGAGGAGGGTATCAAGAAACCGGACTATTTACAAGGCTTCGTTTCCTGAGCACCTGTTCTCCCTCCTCCTTTCTTTCGTCTGCCCTTTCGTGCGTACTTACTCGTTCGATGAACTTCTCCTTCGTGTTGATGTTGTCGTACCCCATGGGTCCCACGAAACCGTTAATATCTTTATGTGGGGAACTCCGTTAGCATAATTCTAGGGAGTGCAGCGAGTGCAATTCGGGGCCGCGCTGGGCTCACACGCCCTGTGGAAAACGCAAAAAGCAGGGCACTTCGTACAGCAAAACGTGACTGCCGAAACGATGTCCTGCTCGTGGAGCGGAGGACCTCTCCCCTCGAGGGGGGGGGAGGAGGAGGAGGAGGAGGAGGAGGAGGAGGAGAAGGAGGAGGAGGAGGAGGAGGAGGAGGAGGAGGAGGAGGAGGAGGAGGACGAGGAGGAGGAGGACGAGGGGGAGG